GGAGGAGAAGGAGGAGGAGGAGGAGAAGGAGGAGGAGGAGGAGGAGGACGAGGAGGAGGAGGAGGACGAGGAGGCGGGGAGGAGACGGGGAGGAGACAGGGAGGAGGCGGGAAGGAGACGGGGAGGACACGAGGAGGAGAGGGAGGAGGAGAGGGAGGAGGGGCGGGCGAGCAAACCGCTTCTGGGCGCTGCCCTGGCGGCGAGGGCTGCAGCAAGCCGCTCACGCTGGGAGCCGCGAGCCTCTCCGAGGCTGCGAGCTGGCAGCCTGGCCTCTGTGGGGCGGAGGGGCGAGAGAGGCGAAAGAGGGCAGGACGAGGGAAAGGCAGAGGGGGAGGGGGAGGCAGAGGGGGGAGGGGGAGGCCGAGGGGGAGGGGGAGGCGGAGGGGGAGGGGCTGGCAAACAGGGGGGGAGATGGAGAAACAGAGCACACTCTTGTAAGTCCGCTGGCGCCAAGTGGTCCAAGACAGTCAGGCGCCCGTCAGCAAGCGGCGGGGTGCACCAGAGGCGAACTGAGGCACGAAGGCGAGAAGAAAAAGAGCACGAGAAGAAACAGAAGGAGCCCGCTCAGACCATGTAAGTCGGCGCGGGGATGCCGAAGGAGAACGCATGCGAACAGAGCGCGCTCACCCCATCTCATGTTTTCCCCCGCCCTCCTCTCCCCCCTAGCGGCCTCCCATTTCTAGCTCCTCCCCTCTGCCCCTCTCTGCCTCCCTCCCGCACTCAACCCCCCAGCACATCCACGAATCACCTCCTCTGACTATCCGCCACCGTGCCTCGAGGCACGAGGTGGAGTTTCCCCCGTGCTCTCTCTGTTCTCTGTGCTCAGGACTGGGGGGCTCTCGTGTTCTAGGGGCTTGGGCACAAAATTTTCAAATTTCCCAGGCACTCCCGCGCGCTCCCGGGCTGCCTCGCGTGACTTTTCCAGGCGGGCCAGGGGGCCCCAAGGCGGGCCCAGAGGGCCCCAGAAAGCGCCCAAGAGGGTCCGAGAGACGTCCAAGACAGCCCAAGAGCGCTCCAAGACGCCCAAGATGGCCCCAAGACGGCCCAAGAGGCCTCGAAGAAGCCCCAAGAGCGCTCCAAAAGGACCCCCAAGAGGGCCAAAGAGGCAAAAATCATTGATTTGCCTTGTGTGTTTCGATGGTTTTCGCGTTCTTGCGTTTTCGGGCTTCCGACGATCCAAGATGGCCCCAGAAGCCTCCAAGACCGCTCCAAGACCGCCCCAAGACCGCCCCAAGAGGGCCCCAAAACAGCCCAAAAGGCGCCCAAGACGGCCCCAAGAAGGGGGACACGAACCGACAATTCGAGCCTTCCGCCGCAAGAGGCCCCCAGGAGGCCCCAAGAGGCCCCCAAGAGAGCCCAACAGGCCCCGCGTCATTCTTCAAGCCAGATCGATATGTGATGGCCCTGGGGACCAAAAAACTGGGCGGCAACGCCCGGTGTGACAAAATTGCGGCGCCAGGACCTCAAAGCCTTCCTCCGATCCCCAGTGCATGGGCCGTCCTAACTCAGGCCCCCCCCCCTCACAGGGTTGGGGGTCCTTTTCTAGTTAATCGAAGGGGACGAGCGCGCAGTCGCCGCCGGCGCCTTCACCTCGCCAAGGCGCTGCTGCATCCACTCGTGGGCGCCGCACAGAACCGACCCTGGCCTCAGCGGGTTTCGGGTCGAGAGGGAGAGAGCGCACGCTCGACCAGCAGGGCGCCCTGCCGGCCCTTCCAGAATCGGTGCCTGCCCCTCCTCCTCCTCCTCCTCCTCCTCCTCCTCCTCCTCCTCCTCCTCCTCCTCCTCCTCCTCCTCCTCCGCCTCCGCCTCCGCCTCCGCCTCCACCTCCGCCTCCGCCTCCGCCTCCGCTCCTCCTCCTCCTCCTCCTCCTCCTCCTCCTCCTCCTCCCTCCTCCCTCCTCCTCCTCCTCCATTCCTCTTTCTTATGAATAACCTCTCCCTGTCGCACCCCGAGGCCACTTTTTAGGGCGGGCCAGGCGTTTCGCCTGGGACTTCCTCACCATCTATGACTCTGAAGCATAAACATTGGCAACAACTTCACAGATGGAGGGCGGGTCGTTTTGAAAATGTGGCTCTCACCTCAGCGCGGCGTATATTCGTTCTAGAAATGTGCAAGAGGATTGAGGGCGGGTGGCTTTCAAAATATTGATCTCGCCTTCAGCGCGGCGTACATTCGTTTTGAAAATCCCACCAGCCCTTTAGGGCGTAGGTGGTCTAGAGCGTTTCCTCTGCCAACCCCCCTTCTTTCCCTTCGGGGAGGGGTTTACCCCTCCCCTTACCCCTCCCCACTGACCTGGACGGGGCGTTCCGCGACGCGTTGGGACGCCCAAGATGGCCCAAGACTGCTCCAAGAGCGAAAAGGCGAGAAAGCACAAAACATTGATTTTCCTTAGGTTTTGGAAGGATTTTGGCCTCTTGGGGGGGCCCAAGAGGCGATCCGAGGCACTCTAGAGGGGCGAGGCTAATTGAGGCTCCCCCCTTCTTTGATATATATTCCCAACATGGCCCCAAGAGCGCCCCGAAGGCTCCCAAGAGCGCCCCAAGAGCGCCCCAAGAGCGCCCCAAGAGGGCCCCAAGAGGCGCCCAAGATGCCTCCAAGAGGCTCCCAAGAGACTCCCAAGAGGCCCCAAGAGAATCCAATATGGCCCAAGACGGCTCCAAGAGCGAAAAGGCGAGAAAGCAAAAAACAATGATTTTCTGTAGGTTTTGGACGGGTTTTGGCTTCTTGGGGGGGGGCCCAAGAGGCGACTCGAGGCACTCTAGAGGGGCGGGGCTAATTAAAGCTCCACCCTTCTTTGATAGATCTCCTCCAAGATGGCGCCATGAGCACCCCGAAGGCACCCAAGAGCGCCCCAAGAGCGCCCCAAGAGAACCCCAAGAGGCTCCAAGAGACGCCAAGAGGCGCCCAAGAGGCCTCCAAAAGGCTCCCAAGAGACCCCCAAGAGGCCCCAAGAGGCTCCCAAGATGGCCCAAGAAGGCTCCAAGAGCGAAAATGCGAGAAAGCAAAAAACATTGATTTTCCATAGGTTTTGTAAGGATTTTGGCCTCTTGGGGAGCCCAAGAGGCGACTCGAGGCACTCTAGAGGGGCAGCGCTAATTGGGGACCCCCCCTTCTTTGATAGATCTCCTCCAAGATGGCCCCAAGAGCGCCTCGAAGGCTCCCAAGAGCGCCCCAAGAGCGTCCCAAGAGGGCCCCAAGAGGCCCCAAAAGGCTCCCAAGAGGCCTCCAAGAGGCCCCCAAGAGACCCCCAAGAGGCCGCAAGAGGCTCCCCGAGATACGCAAGAGGCCCCCGGGACCGCCAAGAGGCCCCAAAGACGGCCCAAGAGGCCCCCAAGCTCGCCATTGTCCTCCTCCTCCTCCTCTTTTTCTTCCTCCTCCCTCCTCCCCCTCCCCTCCTCCCCCTCCCCCTCCTCCTCCTCCTCCTCCTCCTCCTTCTCCTTTTCCTCCTTCTCGTCCTCCTCGTCCTCGCAGTCCTCCATCTCCTCCTCCTGATTTTCCTCCTCCTCCTCCCTCCTCCCTCCTCCCCCTCCCCCTCCTCCTCCTCCTCCTCCTTCTCCTGCTTCTCCTTTTCCTCCTTCTCGTCCTCCTCGTCCTCGCAGTCCTCCATCTCCTCCTCCTCCTCCTCCTCCTCCTCCCCCTCCTCCTCCTCCTCCTTCTCCTCCTCCTCCATCTTCCTCCTCCTCCTCCTCCTCCTCCTCCTCCTCCTCCTCCTCCCCTGCTCCTCCTCCTGCTCCTCCTCTTCCTCCTCCTACTCCGACGACGACGACTCCTCCTACATCCTCCCCCTCTTGGGGCGTATGGCGGCTCAACCCGCTCTTTGTTCTTCTGCATGCTCCCCCGCTTCCCTCATCACCTCCACTCCCCTGGGGCTCATTTCTGGACGGGCTGGTGGGGATACGCGAAGCGTCTAGAATTTGCAGAAGTTTCAAGGATTGAAGGCTGGTCGTTTTTTTAATGTGGTTCTCGCCTTAGCGGGGCGCCCATAATTTTCAAAAATGCAAGAGCTTCACGGATTGAGGGCGGTTTCTTTTCAGAATATGCAAGAGCTTCACGGTTTCCACCATCAACGTGCCAGAAATTGCGTTTTGAAAGGATTCAAGATTATATCGGTGCAACAATTATATTGATTCGCTGCGTTGAAGTCCCAGGAATGGCGTTCTGGCACGATTCAGGATTGTCAAGACGCAGCAGTCAGGTTGATCCGTGGCGTCGGAATACTGAGAACAATGTTTTGGCATGCTTCAGGGTCTTCAACCAGTTATCTTCCAAAGAGACAACTCCTTCCATGGAAATGAACCGTTGTATGGGGCCTATGAAGAGGGAGCTTGGAGGAAGGGTTTCTCCAAACATCGTTGGTGACTCTTGGGTTTACACAGGTCCTCTTCCTCCTCCTCCTCCTCCTCCTCCTCCTCCTCCTCTTCCTCCTCTTCCTCCTCCTCCTCCTCCTCCTCTTCCTCCTCCTCCTCTTCCTCGTCCTCCTCCCTCTCTCCCTCCCTCCCTCCCTCCCCATCCCTCCCTCCCTCCCTCTTTCCCTCCCTCCTCCCCCCTCCCTCCTCCCTCATCCCTCCCTCAAACCACCTGGGCTCGAGCACCAAGCCCTTCGCCACGTCGAAGGCCCGTGCTCTAGTCCATTCCCAGTGCCTCCGAGCGGCGCTCGAGGGACAGTTGAGAATAACGAGAGCTGGGATAAATTTGCCGCAACATGGGGAAGCCACAGAATGTCAACAAGCCCCACCGTGCGTGGTCCAGATGCAGTTTCTGTCAGACATGCGAATACAACGATTAGACGTTGGAGCCAGGACTTCGTCCGTATCGACGTATCTGGCTCAAGGGAAAAACAGTTGCTGCACCTGCTGCTGCCACAGTGGAGTAAGGTGATGACTGGAATTAAGTGGAGTGGATTGTTGAAGACTTGGAAGTGGAAGGAAACGGGAATGGAATAGAGTCGAAAAGAGTGCAAACGAATGCGGAGGAGTGTGGAGGGATGGAGTGGGGAGAAATGGGAAGGAGTGGGTAGGAACGGGGAGGAGCTGATGCGAATGGATCACCTGCAGAGGCAACGCAAAAATAACTGAGGACGATGAGAAGGCTTTCTTTTGGCAGAACGCACGCGCTGTCACGCTGGCTGGCGGAGCACGTGCGGGAGGAGCGAGGAATGACGGAGGACGGGACAAAGCCTGCCTTGAAACGGAATGCACGCGCTGTCACGCTGGCTGGCGGAGCGCGTGCAGGAGGAGCGAGGAGTGCAGGAGGGCGGAGAGCAGGCTGCCTATAGACAAAATGCACGCGCTGTCACGCCTGGTGGCGGAGCGCTTGCAAAAGGAACGAGGGACTTGACTCATAAAATCCAGCGTCGGAGGTCCGTGTGGGCTGCTGAAAGCAAGCAGTTTAAACATTGGTGAAAGGGCCGACCTCCCCATGGGGGGGGAGTGAAGTTTACCTGAATGCAGGACGAGGGCCAGGATCACCAGTCGGAGCTTATCCCACTCGCGCCCTCGCCCTGAGCGGAGATGAGCGGCAAGCGGGTAGACGTGGGCCAATCGTCGGCCAGGTCCTGCTTCGAGCGCCATCGCTGTAAGCATCACAGCGGATGGCGCGTGCGTGTGCACGGCTGTCCCTAAGCTCAGCGGCCAGTCACTACTCCTGGCGACGCAATGCAAGGGGGTTCAAAATTGAGGTCCCCAAGGCATCCAGGAGGATGATGAGGATGATGATGACGATGAAGAGGGTGCTGATGATGATGGTGATGGAAATGATGATGCTGCTGATCATGCTGATGACGATGAGGAGGAGGAGGGTGGTGATGGAAATGATGATGCTGGTGATGGTGATGGTGATGGTGATGGTGATTATGATGAGAAGGAGGAGGAGGAGGAGGAGGAGGAGGAGGATGCTGATGACGATGATGACAATGACGATGACGATGACGATGACGATGATGATGATGATGATGATGATGATGATGACGATGATGATGGTGATGATGATGATGATGATGAAGATGATGATGAGGATGATGGTGAAGATGATGATGTTGATGCTGATGATGATGTTGATGATGCTAAAGATGATGATGATGATGATGCTGATGATGATGCTGATGATGATGATGATGATGATGATGATGATGATGATGATGATGAGTATGGTGATGATGATGCTGATGATGCTGAACCAAAGCTGCAAGTCGCAATTGCCCTTTAGAAAATTACCCTGACGACGTACCCAACCCCTGCGCAATGCGCGGCATGAGTAGCTTGGCAGACGTTATACGGAGGTGATGACGTGACATGGGCGCATATACTTCTGCGAGCGGCATTCGTGAGGCGCGCTGCCCCCCAAGGATTGCGATGTCTCGCTCAGATCTGCCTGGTGCCTCGCTCCGCTGAACCCGCCAACAGCCTTCGAAAGTTGCGACAATTTCGCAGATCGCAGCCTCCCAAGGATGGCGAGGCCCCGCTCAGATCTGCGCGGTGCCTCACTCCGCTGGACCCACTAGCAGCCCTCGAAAGTGGAGACAATTTCGCAGATCGCAGCCCCCCAGGCACGGCGAGGTCCCGCTCAGATCTGCGCGGTGCTTCACCCCGCTGGACCCACCAGCAGCCCTCGAAAGTGGCGACAGTTTCGCAGATCGCAGCCCCCCAGGCACGGCGAGGTCTTGCTCAGATCTGCGCAGTGCCTCACTCCGCTGGACCCGCCAGCAGCCTTCGAAAGTGGCGACAGTTTCGCAGATCGCAGCCCCCCAGGCACGGCGAGGTCTTGCTCAGATCTGCGCAGTGCCTCACTCCGCTGGACCCGCCAGCAGCCTTCGAAAGTGGCGACACTTCCGCAGATCGCTATGCTGGCCCTCCAAGCAGCCCTCGAAAGTGGCGACAGCTTCGCAGATCGCAGCCCCCTAGGCACGGCGAGGTCTTGCTCAGATCTGCGCGGTGCCTCACTCCGCTGGACCCACCAGCAGCCCTCGAAAGTGGCGACAATTTCGCAGATCGCAGCCCCCCAGGCACGGCGAGGTCTTGCTCAGATCTGCGCGGTGCCTCACTCCGCTGGACCCACCAGCAGCCCTCGAAAGAGGCGACAATTTCGCAGATCGCAGCCACCCAGGCACGGCGAGGTCTCTCAGATCTGCGCGGTGCCTCACTCCGCTGGACCCACCAGCAGCCCTCGAAATGGCGACAATTTCGCAGTCGCAGCCTCAGCTGGACCCACCAGCAGCCCTCGAAATTGCTCAGATCTGCGCGGTGCCTCACTCCGCTGGACCCACCAGCAGCCCTCGAAAGTGGCGACAGTTTCGCAGATCGCAGCCCCCCAGGCACGGCGAGGTCTTGCTCAGATCTGCGCGGTGCCTCACTCCGCTGGACCCACCAGCAGCCCTCGAAAGTGGCGACAATTTCGCAGATCGCAGCCCCCCAGGCACGGCGAGGTCTTGCTCAGATCTGCGCGGTGCCTCACTCCGCTGGACCCACCAGCAGCCCTCGAAAGTGGCGACAGTTTCGCAGATCGCAGCCCCCCAGGCACGGCGAGGTCTTGCTCAGATCTGCGCGGTGCCTCACTCCGCTGGACCCACCAGCAGCCCTCGAAAGTGGCGACAATTTCGCAGATCGCAGCCCCCAGGCACGGCGAGGTCTTGCTCAAATCTGCGCGGTGCCTCACTCCGCTGGACCCACCAGCAGCCCTCGAAAGTGGCGACAATTTCGCAGATCGCAGCCCCCTAGGCACGGCGAGGCCCCGCTCAGATCTGCGCGGTGCCTCACTCCGCTGGACCCACCAGCAGCCCTCGAAAGTGGAGACAATTTCGCAGATCGCAGCCCCCCAGGCCCGGCGAGGTCCCGCTCAGATCTGCGCGGTGCTTCACCCCGCTGGACCCACCAGCAGCCCTCGAAAGTGACAACAGTTTCGCAGATCGCAGCCCCCCAGGCACGGCGAGGTCTTGCTCAGATCTGCGCGGTCCCTCACTCCGCAGGACCCACCAACAGCCCTCGAAAGTGGCGACACTTTCGCAGATCGCAGCCCCCATCGTCGGCGAAGAGAGGGCAGGAGGAGGCGGGAGGCGGAAGGAGGAGGAGGACGCGACCACACCCCTTTGTTCAAAACGAATACCCAACCAAGGAGGGGTGGGAAGTACTACGGTACCGACTATATAAAACAACAATGAAACAAGATTGTAATGCTGTCAAGCAGAACCAAGTCTTGAGAGCCCGCGATCAAAAAGAGAATCAGACACATCGACCAGAAAACTGAGATCCGACCAGGGTGATGCGAAGAATCACAGGGCCAAGTTGAGCGAAACAGACTCGAAACAGCCATGCCGACTGCGACCTACGCGTATGCCCCGCTCAAAGCAAGCAGAGAATACAGCTCTGCCCCGCGACCACGGCGTCATGATTCCACGCTACGTTGTCCTGGAAGCCCTGCACGTACGCTGGAGTGATCTCCAGCCGCTTCCCCTTCCTGGTCACTCCGAGGTGGGACGGCAGCTGCTGGTTGTGGAACTTCAGGTAGGCGCCCTCCGCTGCTGCAGGGCAGACGAAGTTGACGAACGCAAGGGACCGGTTCTTCGTCTTGTTCATCATGTCCAGGGGGATGTACACCAGGTCGAAGGAGTTCTTGAACCCGTGACTGGTGAGCACCTGGGCCAGCTTCTTCGCCGTGAGCGCCGAGTCCACGTTCTTCAGCCTCGCGGTGGTCAGGCCGCACAGGCCTCCCCCGGAGAGCGCGATGCGGCGGGCGACCTCCATGGGAGGAGTCGCCACCGCACGGCGCGCGGGGGGAAGAGCACCTGCGGCCTGCGCCGCGCCGGGCTCCGGGGCCTGGCCGCGCCCGGCGCTCCCGGGCGCGGGCCCCGTCGCGCCCCGGGCACGCGGCCCGTCGTCGCCGTCCCCGTGGCCGGCCGGAAGCAGCCGCTGGGGCCACGGGGGGCACGTCGTGACGGGGGGGCCCGGGCGGGCAGCCATACGACGCCAGGCCGGCAGAGTCCCAGGAGCTCCGCGGGCGCTCTCTCGGAGCTCGGCTCTGCCAGGATAAGGGGGCCGCACGGGCGGCCCTGAGCAGCAGGTGGCTGCGGAGGGAAGCTCTTTCCTGTCCTCGGGGCCCCATCCCCCCATCCCTGAGGGCCGAGGGCCCCATCTTCGAGACCCTGGTCAGAGTTGGCGGCGCGCACAAAGTGGCAAGGGGAGGGGAGGAGGCTTCGTGGAGGGAGGCTGCTGCTCGGAAGGCGCGGGCCCTGCGTCTGCAGGCGAGGCGCGCCTTCTGAGAAGCAGGGGTGCTCCTGAGAAGTCTTCCCCCTCCTCCTCCTCCTCCTCCTCCTCCTCCTCCTCCTCCTCCTCCTCCTCCTCCTCCTCCCCTCCTCCTTCCTCCCCCTCCTCCTCCTCCTCCTCCTCCTCCTCCTCCCTCCTCCTCCTCCTCTCTCCTCCTCCTCCTCCCCCTCCTCCCCCTCTCCTCCTCCTCCTCCTCCTCCTCCTCCTCCTCCTCCTCCTCCTCCTCCTCCTCCTCCTCCTCCTCCTCCTCCTCCTCCTGCTCCTCCTCCTTGGGGCCCCATCCCCCATCCTGAGAAGCCTTCCCCAGGTCAGAAGGGCGTTGCCCCCAGAAGCCGGTCGCCCCCTGCTCACCGACAGCCCCCCCTCCCACTGACGCTGTCCACGGGCCAGGCTCCGCGCAGGGAGGCGTCGCAGCACAGGGCCACCATGGCGGCCACGCTGTCGAACTCGTGCTGCCTGGGAGGACGCCAGCTGGCAAGGCTTCAAGCAGAGGACCGACTACAGAACTCGTGCACCCCAAAGTCAGTTCGTCCATCGGATCCTCCACACGTGCGCTGGATGCTCCGTGGATATGCTGAGGATCATGTCTGCTCGTTCGTGGATTATCCACGAAAAATCCGTTTGGGGGTAAATCAGTTATGCTGTCGATCTCCTGCGTCGGGCGTGTCCTCCTACAAGGGAATGGTCGACGAAACATAAAACATGTTAAAAATACACCAAAAAATCGAAGAAACAAAAAACAAAAAACAAAAAAAAACAAAAACAAAAAAACAAAAAAAAAAAAAAAAAAAAAAAAATGTGTTACTATTTGGGAATATTCCCCCTGTAGAGGGACTGGCCCGACTTAAGGCTAGCGAACCTGGGCAGGCCCGCCCGGAAGCTCCCTGGAGTGGCGCCGGGGAGGCCCGGCGCACGGACCCTGGGGCCCCGCAGCGGGCCTTAGGTCGGGCACGTCCCCCCACAGGCGGATTTTGTGGGCGAAAAATCAAAAATAGTCCAAACATGCTCAAACATGGTCCAGAACAACAACACACACAAAAAAAACGTCCCCTGACTATTCTTTGACTCTTGTTGAATTCTCCTCGTGTGGAAGGCAAGGCCCGACTTAAAGCTGGCCTGGTCAGGGCGGGCGCAGGTGGATGGTTTGCGCCCCCCGCGCTGCCGGATCAGGGGCTGCTCGGGGCGCAGGTTCAGGCCCGCGAAGTACCGCAGGGTCGACTGCAGGAAGTCGTCCTTCGCAGGACGGGCAAGGGAAAGGAGCACGAGAGGGACAGGACACAGGACATCCGCATGAGGGGGCGCAACGTCAACACACCTGGAGTGGTGCCTTGCACACGTCTGGCAAAATCCCCTGCGACTTGGTTGTGCAACGGCCCTGGTTTCTCACTAGGGCCGGCAGGGGGCATATACCCCGAAGCTTCAAGGGGTGAGCTCCGAGGTGGCCCCGTAAGAGAAGCCCGCTGCCTTGTGAGTACGAGTCCCTGCGGGTAAGTGCGGGGGGAGCAGTTGCTGGCCCTTCCGCGTGGGCACGAGGAGGGGGCGGAGGAGGAGGCACGGCAGAGGGCAAAAACGGGCCCAGATGAACACTGGCCAACTATGATGAAGGATGTCCCGTGAACATCGAAGCTGAACATGTTCTGATGCTTGGAATGAGCTTCCTGCCGAATACCATGGCGGAACTATTATGACAGGGCCGGGCCAGCACGCTCGGAAAGAGCTTCTTGGCAGTAAGGCTAGCAAGAACGCTGGCAACGCGAGAAGCTCTGGAAGCGAGATCGCACGCTCGAAGTGATCTTCCGGCCGACAAGGCTGGCAACGCCATGTGTGCTGGACCCAAGCTGGCACGTTCGGAGTGAGATTCTCGGCTAAAAAGCTGGCAGCGCCATGCATGCTAGGAACGAGCCAGCACGCTTCGAGTCGGTTTCCTGCTGCCGACAACGCTCGCAACGCGATGCGCAACGTACGAGAGCCAGCAAATTCGGGATAAGTTTCCTGACGGTCACGATGGCAGCAACGCTGGCAACGCGACGCGCGCCGGATGCGAACCGGCACGCTCGGTATGAGCATACTGACAATTACGCTGGCGGCGCGGCGCGCACTGGGAGCGACTGGCACGCTCGAGCTTGCTGCTGGACGCGAGCAGGCGCGTTCGGAGCGAGCGCCCTGGCAAGGACGTGCTTCGCAACGCTGGCAACGCGAGGTTCACGTTCGCCGAGAGCGAGCTGGCACGCCGCTCGGAAAAGAGCTTCCGCCCGGCAACGCCGGCCATACGGCTTGCGCCGAACGCGGGCCTGCCCGCTCGGAGTGAGCCTCCTGGCTGGGACGCTGGCAGCGCGAAGTGCACTGGCGCAGCGAGGCCGCGCGCTCGCGAGGCCCATCGGAGGGGCGAGAGGCAGGGGCACGAGCAGCCGAAGTGAGGCAGCCATGAAGAGAACAGCGTCGGCGGCGAGCGAGAGGGGGGGGAGCGAGAAGGGGCGGGCCTTCCCAGAAGGCTGGGAAGTCCCACGGCCGTCGAAGAAGTTTTCCGAGCCTTCCCCGAAGACACAGAAAACCTCGCAGAAGGCGCGAGGGCTTCTGAGAAGTCACGCCGCCTTCTGAGAAGGGCTTCTCCTTTTCACTCTCACCCCTCGCTCGCCGCGGACAATGAGAACCCTCTAGTACGCAAGCCTCCGCTGGGAGGAGAGAAAAACAAAAAAAAAAAAAAAAAAAAAACGAGAGGCCCTCAGGGGTGGCATTCCGAAGGCTCCGTAGAAGGGGGCTAGCCAGCCACGGCCGTCTCCGGCAGCTGGCGCCTTGCCGAGGCCCTGGGAGCGCGACTGGTGGCACACATGGCAGTATCAGAACAGTACTACCGGAAGGACAGCACGGCAGGTTCGTGTCGTGCCGATCCCAGCATTGGTGCCTGACACCGCGGGGAACGCCCAACCTTGGACGATCGGCCGTTCCCGAAACGTTCGATCGTTCAACATGAACCGATTATGGGTCACCGGCGGCGTTCAAGGTCGAACGCCAGCGGCGGGGTCGCCGCTGGTCGACACAACGCGAACCTGCCGTACATTTTCATAAACTTAGGTCGTGCATGCTGCCCTACAGGTGGATCTTGGGCGAAAAACACAAAATAGCCCAAAGATATACAAAAATACCCCCCCAAAAAATGCAGAAAAAAACGGCCCCTGACGATTGTTGTACTATTTTTGAATTCTCCTCCTGTAGAGGGACGTGCCCGACTTAACTATAAACTCCTAGCACTTCGTGCACCGTGCCGTCACCGTGCCGTCTGCACGAGTCGAGCGACTTCGGGTCGCGAGTCATCCTCCTGCTTGTGTACTGGGTATACTGAGAGCGCTCTTGAGGCCCGCGGGGCCCAGATCCGCTCTCGCGCGGTTTCGGGATGCTCCGCTCGTCTTTTCCCGAGGCCTCGGGGTCGCGGCTGCGAACCAAAACCTCCAGCATGCCCTAAGATGACCCCTTGGGCCTATCCCGCAGCTCTCTCGGGTGAGGAGGCTCCCAACAGCGTCATGGTACGGTCCCCGAGCCACCAAGAGAGACAGGCCCCAAGAGAGGCCCAAAAAAAGAGGAGCTCGAAGGGGGCCAGGAGCCTTCCCCTGCAGATTGAGCCAAGACCCCCTAAGAGGCCACCAGGATGCATCAAGAGGCCCCCCCAGAGGCCCCCCAGAAGCCCCCCAAGAGACCACCAGAAGCTTCCAAGTCCACGACCAAGCCACACCACGGTAGCTGGAGAGGCCCAAAGCCGAAAGAAATTACAGCGGTTTCCCTTAACAGCGCAGGCTGTGGGGTATCTTTGAACCTTAGACAGGGCCCTGAATCGCCCAAGACTCACGTGGGCGATTTTGGAAACCCTGAACCCAAAAACGTTTTCATCTCTTGGACTCTTGGAGGCGTTGTTTTACTTCCGCCGCCTTCCGCCTGCCTTCCGCCGGCTTCCGCCGGCGGAGGCGGCCTCGTTCTACTTCCACCGACCTTCCGCCGCCTTCCGCCGCGGAAGAGATGGCAACTCCTGCAATCCTATGATCCCTCCCTGGCGCGCGGAGCGCGCCAGCGGCGGTGCCGGAGGCGCTGGCGGGGGGTCCCAGCGCAGATCCAAGAAATCCGCGCGGAACTCCAAAAGTTAGTGTTGATGGCGTTTTTTCTTCTTCAATCCAGACTGCGTGCCGCCCAGACAGTGGCATGGGAGATCCGAGTGCCACGCTGTGCCCTTCAGTGCCTCGCGGTGCCGTGCTGTGCCGTGCCACGTGCCACGTGGCGCCATGCCGCGCCGTGCCGTGCACGTGCACATGCCGGTTGGGGCGTGCTGGCGGTGTACGAACGAGCGGAGGAGCGACACACTCCATCGGCCTGGAGGCCGTCCCGAGACGGGTGGCGCGGTGGCGCCTCAGCGCTCAATTCTGGCACTCGACGCTTGATTCCACCCAGCGCTTGCACTGCCCGCCTTGCCGCCAAGCACGGTTCTCGGGATCCCAGTGAAAAGAACTCCGTGCCCACGACTCGCTGTCGGTGCGCATGCGGCCAAGCCAACGAACGCGTGCTGGCGATAAGGCATGGTTGACTGCCGCTCTTGTTGGCGCAAGAGCTTCCAATAAGGCCCACAGACGCCCCCAAGGAGGCCGCAAGACTGCCTTCAGGCCGCTCCGGATGGCTCGCACGGTGAATTCGCGGGCTGGCAGGGGAGGCCGCCCCCCCTCGTCTTGTGGAGCCAGAGGGGCGCTCAGCGGGGGGGCCTCCGCCAACGCGCTTTTGCGAAAGGCCCGCTCTCCGCTGCGCGCCGTGCCACGCTCCACGAGCGCTTACCCGTGCTGATGCAGTTCTCACTACAGTCACTACAGCCTGATCTGGTGGCCTCGCGGGCTCATCAATGGATCTCACTGCATCCAGGTGGCGGCATCCGAACCCTACCCCCACAAACCATTGATTCTCTTCAATCGATGGGAGGCGGGGGTAGGATTCGGATTTCGCCAAGTGTTCGACGAATTCCGAAACGCACCCCCGCCGCCCATCGAGTTGCCGGAATGGTTGATCGGCGTGGGTAGGTGTCGGATTTCGCCGCCGAACATCCATCGCGAGACCGCGTGCCCGCTGGGCGCAGTCTCACTGGAGCGCGCCAACGGCATGAAGGCCGCAGAAGCAGCAGGGTGCTTCACGGAGGCCCCGTGTGACACGCTTCGAGCGGGCCGGCCCACTGTCGTGTGCTTCAAGTGGCCCTGCGCACCCCGAAGAACACTAGAGAACGCGGAGGGCCGATGCACGAAGCGACAAGCAGTCATTGTGCGTACGGCAGGTTCGTGTCGTGCCGATTTCGGCGACGGCTTCTGACACCGCGTGAATCGTTCAATCTTGAACGATCGGCCGTTTCCGACACGTGAGATCGTTCAACATCGACCGATCCTGGGTCGCCCGCGGCGTTCCACGTTAAACGCCAGCGGCGGGGTCGCCGCCAGTCGACACGACGCAAACCTACCGTAGAAGACGCGGCGGGTCCCTCCAGTGGGCACAACAGGTGTCACTGCGCACAGGACTGCGAGCGAATACGTACGGTGAACACGCCGACGGAGCCAGAGGCAGGCGGAGGAGATGCAGCAGCAGCATCAGCAGCAGCAGCAGCAGTTTGCAGCAGGACCGATGAGATCAACGCGACAGGAGCACAGGACGGGGGCAGATGGGGCGAAGGCGCAGTTGGTCCTGGCTGGCCTGCTCCACAGCGGCGTGGGAGTCCCTCGCAGCCAGGTACCTGAATCGCGACGCGGGCAGTCTTGGGACCAATGGCACTTTGGGACGGGGGCCTTCTGCGTGACCAGGTCAGGACTGCCAGGACAGAGATTCGGAAAACTCTTTACCTCTTTCTTTCGTTCATGCCGCATCCCTTGCCACCCTCCTCGTCTTTTCCTCCTCCTCCTCCTCCTCCTCCTCCTCCTCCTCCTGCTCCTTCTCCTCCTCCTCCTCCTCCACCTACCCCCCGTTCCTTTTGGGAAACCCATCCCCTGTAATCACCTGGAGCACAATAGAACTCCCCAAAAATCTGGCCCGACATGGGCCCCCATAGTGTGTTCAAACTTGTCGTCAACCTCGCACCGAGGTGGGCGGCCAAAACCTGCCGGGGTCCTCGTGCAGTCTTTAGTGGCCTCCAGAGGACCCCCAGAGGTCCTCGGAGGTGCCCAGATGCCTCCGCGGGCCTCCAGACGCCTGTGGATGCCTCCCTGGAAGTCTTGGGAGGGCCCTTGGAAGTGGCACGGAAGCCCAAAAATGCCGAAAACGCAACACCGACAAAAAAAATAATCCTCGGATCTCGATCCTGGATCCTCGAGGCAACCTGAGCAAAGGCGCCGAACAACAACAACAACAACAACAACAACAACAACAACAACAACAACAACAACAACAACAACAATCACTTTACCCGAACGCTCAGTGTTCTCACCAGTGCCAGGGTTTTCATGCGACGCCAGCCAATACCCCCACTTTGTGGGGGGGCAGTGCAAGCTCTACCAAATATCCACACGACTCTTCGCCACCACCCACACCCAGCTTCCCGCCCTATGACGTTCGGACACTTCACTTCGTGGCCTGCGGACGACCGTGGCTACTACACTGGCGTGGAGTACACACCCACAGAAGTTGTTAAGCCTACGTTCGTACACCCACAGAAGTTGTTAAGCCTTGTTAACCCACAGAAGTTGTTAAGCCTTCCACAGAACATCTGTTGCATATGATGCAGAAGCCCAATGGTTTTTGGAGATTTCGGCGTGCGCGCGCGAAGAAAAAACGAATGTGTCCCGCATGGTATTATTTGACAGGGATGATGGCCCTGGCAGGTGCGCAACCGTTGTCGCAGAAGTTCGAAAAAGTTGCTCGCAAAAGCCCGTTTGACAGAAATGTTTAAAAAGTGTTGGGTTTCCTACGAATCCGCAAGAGCGCGCGGGATGAGATTTTGACATTTTTTTGTTGAAAAACCATTGGTTTTTTGATGTTTTTATGTTAAAATCGCTCCGAACACTAAGCTTTTGGAAGGATTTCGTCTTGCGCGCGCGAATGTCCACTTTACCTTATTTTTTGCAAGGGATTCTTGAAATTTGATTATATTAGAACAAGAAATGTCATTTTATAGTGTTTTTTGCAAGGGAAAACGGATTACAACAAAACAACCGGATCTGGATCACATCGTTTTACCTGAGGCTTCCTCACGAAAATGATGAAAACGTGGCTGCGGCCTAGGCGCGGCGGGGGGGGCGTGCACCAGGGGGCCCAACAATAATTATTTAGAAGTAATAATATTCAACAACGACGACAACAACAACAACAAACACAAAAACAAAAACTCCGACGGTAGGACCCCACACGAGAATCTATTTAGCTGGCCCGTCGCTTCCTTCGCGTCGCCTTCGCGGAGGTGTCCTCCCGCCCTCTGATACGCCTCCTCCTCTTCCTCGTCCTCTTCGCCCTGAGTTTCCTCTTTCTTATCCTCCCTCCTCCTTCTCCTCCTTTTCGTATGATTATTATGATTCGTGATAGCGTTCGTCTCCTTAGCACTATGTATATTGCTACTATGATTACTACTATTCTTAGTGGTAGTACACTTACTATTTAAAGTATGCTTATTAGCCGTCGTATTCATATTCGTCTCCTTACTACCAGTATTAATATTGTCATTATCAGTGGCCTTTTTTCTTTATCATATGTTCCAGATTAACATTACTCGAATTACGATTGTTAATACTAGTCTCCCTCTTATGATTCATACTCCTCTTATGGTTATTTCTCGTATTAACACGCATTACATGCTGCATTTGTCACATTACTTTTTCGTACTACAGCTTGGAATAGCTGTTCCGCCTTATCATTTTTTTCATGTTATAGTTACTCCTTTCTTCCCACAAGTATGAATATAATTCGTATGATTCTTCGCGGTAGTATTGCTATGAATAAGTATGTGAATAGTTTTCTATTATTCTAATTCGCCTCGTTCGTTTTCTTTGTAGTACGATGTGTGTCTTACGATTATTCTCCATTCGTATTCGTATTGCTCGTCGTCTTCGTTTTGTTAGTAGTGTGGTTATTAATATTATTCGTGTTGTTTCTCGTTCCTCTTCTTACTGCTATTAATAATACTATTAGTGCTGTTGTCCCTTTTCCTCCTCCTCCTGATCCTCCTCCCCCTCCTGCTCCTCCTCCTCCTCCTCCTCCTCCTCCTCCTCCTCCTCCTCCTCCTCCTCCCCTCCTCCTCCTTCCTCATCATCATCATCATCATCATCATCATCATCATCATCATCATCATCATCATCATCATCATCCGTTTCCTCGTCCTCCTCATCCTCCTCCTTTTCCTCCTCCTCCTCCTCCTCCTCCTCCTCCTCCGCCTCCTCCTTTTCCTCCTCCTCCTCGTCATGTTTCTCCATATCCTCCTCCTCCTCGTCCTCCTCCTCCTCTTATTCCTTCTCCTCCTCCTCCTCCCTCCTCCTCCACCTCCTCCTCCTCCTCCTCCTCCTCCTCCTCATCATCATCATCATCATCATCAGCATCATCATCATCATCATCATCATCATCATCATCTCATCCTCATCCTCATCCTCATCCTCATCATCATCATCATCATCATCATCATCATCATCACCATCATCATCCTCATCATCATCATCATCCTCATCATCATCATCATCACCATCATGATCATCATTCGCAGCATCATCAAAATCATCAGCATCATCACCATCATCATCATCATCATCAGCAGCAGCATCATCCGCTTCCTCCTCCTCCTCCTCCTCCTCCTCCTCCTCATCCTGATCCTCCTCTTCCTCCTCCTCCTCTTCCTCCCCCCCTTCCTCGTCCTCCTCCTCCTCCTCTTCCGCCGCATCCCTTTTCTCCTCCTCAGTGTTTTCCTCCTCCTACTCCTCCTACTCCTCTTCCTCCTCCTCCTCCCCCCTCCTCTTCTTCCTCCTCATTATCATCAGCACCATCATCATCGTCACCATCATCATTATCGCCAGCATCATCGCCGTAGTCATCATCATCATCATCATCAGCATCATCATCATCATCATCACAAATCAGCATCAACATCATCGGCAGCAGCGTCCTCAGCATCAACAGCACCATCCGCAGCATGATCAACGTCATCAGCATCATCATCATCATAATCATCATCATCATCATCATCATCATCATCCTCATCATCATTATCATCATCATCATCATCATCATCATCATCATCATAATCATCACCATCATAGTCATCAGCACCATAATCATAATCCTTCTCCTCCCCCTCCTTCTCCCTCATTTGCCCCTCCTCCGTCGCCTCCTCTTCCTCACCACCCTCCTCATTGTCCCTGTCATATCCTCCTCCTGTTTGTTCTCCCCGTGCACCACCCCTGCCTCCTGACCAGGGCGGATCGAATTTCCTCGGCGCCGTCGCCGTCGCGGCTGGCATGGGCGCGTTTTCTGACAGCTGGATCGCGAAGCGGTCGGGGCGGTTCCGCAGGCGAGGCCGTTGGGACAAACCCCGCGAACCGCTGGGGCGCGGGAGCCAGCCGTTGGGACGACCTCGCAGGTCTCGAGCCAATCGCGGCCGCGCTCAAGCGTGGGGCAACTGGAAGTCCAGCTCGGCCGCGAGCTGCTCCGCTTCAGCCCTGGAATGCACCGCTCCCTTGTCGAACTCCTCGAGCGCCTTCCGCCAGGACGCCGGCGGCCCACGCTGCAGCAGGAACTCTCGCGCGGGCGGCCGCAAGATCAGCATGTTCCACCCGCGCGCGGCGCGGGAGAACACGACGTAGAAGTGCAGCCACCACCGCTACTCCGACTGCGCATCCGACCACAGCTCGTGTGACCAACTAACTCGTCCCTGGCGCAGTCGACGGCGACGGCCTTGCGCAGCGTCTGACCTTGCGACAATGCGGAGGCCAGGCAGGACGCGTGCGTCAGGTTGAACCCTGAGCGGCGCGCGACGCGCGGCCTCGATCCCTGCCGGTGAACTCCTGCTCGCTGGGCCTGCACGTGAGCAGGCTCCTCGCCCGCGCCTCGGCCTCGCCGTCGTCGTCAGCGCCTCCGGCTCCCTGTAGCCGCAGCTCGGCGACCTCCTGGTAGATCGAGGATTCCTTGAAGCCGTGGATGTTCATCCAGACGCCCCGCAATATGCAGCGGGGGGCGAAAGAGCTGGCCCGGCGCACACTCCTCGTAGTCCCGCTCGTCGTCAGGGTGCAACCCGGAGGACACGATGGTGGCCCGTTGCTCCTCCATCAGTTCCTTCTGCACGGCCGTGAACCGAACCTCCATGCCGACGCGTGCCTGTAACACGCCAGCCTTGTCGTCGCAGAGCCGGAGGAAGCAAAAAGTGACGACAGCTACAAGTTTCCAATGACCCCGCTCGGACTCGACCATGGAGGTGGGAGCCCCATGGGGACGGGGTCCTGCCTGAGACTTCCGCGCGATTCACTCACAGACGAAGTTCCGTCTCAAGATTTCCTCCACATACACGCCAGAGCAGCCCAAAAATGACGACATGTACAAGTTTCCCATAACCCGCCTCGGATTCGAACCTGAAATGCGGGCCCCATAGGAAGGGGGCTCCCGATTGAGACTTCCTCGCGATGGTGGTGGGTGATGATGATGATAATGACAATGATGCTGGTGATGATGGTGATGCTGGTGATGATGGTGATGATGATGATGGTGATGAACATGAATGCGATGCTGATGATGATGACGATGATGGTGATGATGGTGATGATGGTGGTG